CCTGTTTGTACAGAAGTAAAGCTCAGTGATGCATTCGCCAGTATTTAGAAAGTCACTGGAGAATAATATTTAACCACTCTGACTGGCTTCATTTCTACAGCTGGAACTCCTTGATATTGAAAAAATAATATTTTTCTTCATTCAGCTTACAACTAATTTATGAAACTCTCAGTTGTGGTTCTTGCACTGACCCAAGGAATCTGCTACTAGCTACTGCAGCCAGGGGAAGAGAGTTACACCCTGGTGCCTGCTCTGATCTTCTACGCGAACTTCCAAATGCTCTACAAATCTAAACCCCAAGATTTGCCATTTCAGATTCTTCTGATGATACTGGGAATGATTCTCCCACTGTCTGTTTGGTAGATTTTTAAGCATTTTTTGGCTACTATTCAGTGGAAATGTTTGAGTAACACAGAAACTGGCATGGTGAATATCTGAAGCTTTGGAGTTTTGCACAGCCTTACCATCTGCACTATCACACCTGAAGAAATTACACGTTGTTCTATGTGGGCACTCCATATATGCCTCACAGAGATGGCAAAATTCAACACAAATAATGCTGATCATAAACAGCCACGGTGTTTAACTCAGCCAAATCTACCACAGTCAAATGGAATGTTGAAGCTAAATTTTTGGCAACTTGCTGGTTGGATGTAATGCTGAATCTGTTGCTTCAGGCTAACAAAAAAGAGAAGAAAAAAAAAAAGGAAATAAAAGTATTAACAATACAGAATCCATTATAAATATCAAAGAGGTGGATTTTCTCGAGAAATATTGTAGTCTAGTACTTGTGGCTTTCTTTATATGCTGTCAAATAGCATATAAAAGTTGTGCTTTGCTTGAGTAATCTCTTTTTCTTTAAAATGTTAAATGATGCTAATAATGTATGGAAATAAAGCACTGTAGCTTATGTCTACATTTGATCCTGAGAGCACATAAATAATGCTGTAAGCAACTACACCATATGAGCATCTCCGGGTGTTAGTTTAGACTGGCTGCAGCTGGGCCCTGGGCTGAACCCTGGATCTGAAGCCCATGAGGACTGTGCTTGGAGCTGCCTCTGGATTTACCCAAAGGAAGCCCTTTATGATCTCAGAAACCTCCTTGTGATGTGAATAAAATCATGGGAAGGGGGAAAAAAAACACCCTTCTGATCTGCACTAGGACATTAACATATGTATGATCCTAGATGAAGTCAAAAAAATTCACTGGACTTTCTTGTAAAATAAATCATCATAGGCTATTCTTGATACATCGTTGACTGTATATTCTCTCAATAGACAGTATCTTACTATCTAGTATCTTGACCAGAAACTCATACCTTTGCAAATTTAAATTACTCTTTTTAGAGATGTGAAATGTATATATTTTGTTTCATCTCATCCCACTCCTCAGAGTAAGTTCTAAATGTTGGTTTAGTGTTTCTACAGCAAGATTGCTTTCTGAAGAGTTTCCCTAGGAAACCTGTGAAAAATGTTAGTGTGATTTCTGCAAAGTTTGTGGAGCCCATAGAGTTCCATTGGCAGTAATCTTTGCACTATGCATCTTCCAAGCCCTGGAGAATGTAAGTTTGCACATGTGTTCGATCTTTGTTACCACATTATTAGGTCTTGACAACAGAAGGTACACACTAACTCATGGTGGTCCATACTGCTAACTGGGACTGCAAAGGATAATTGCACATGTTCCTCATAGCCAGCAGTTTGTGTTATTTACTGCTGTAGATGTATTAATACAAACATAACCTTGGTGATCTGTTCTATTTAATGCTCACTAATAAGCTGTTATGGGATATCAAGCCCCCTGTGCAAATGCAAATTCTTCAAAATGAAAAAGTGAAATGAAAATGAAAATGCTTCCCAGCTGTGCCAGAGGAACATCCTAACGTGTGCAATATCCATCTTTTTTTTAAGGTATCTCCTTGTGTGGCTCTTCTGCCTTCCTTTAGCCACATCTTCCCTAATCCAACACACACTTTCCCCTTCAGCTCTCATGCCATTGCAGAGATGTTCTTCCATTGTTACAACCATCACTTTGGGGTATGCCAACCCCAGCACAGGCTGTCCTGCACAGGTCAGCCATGGTCCAGGCACACAGATGGATGTGTGCTCAAGCAGAGGAGCACATGGTGGGAGCTTGGATACTGAGGGAGCTCCTTCAGCTGGTATGCAACATACCACAAGAAATAGCTATTGAGGAACAGCCTGTAATTACTCAGTGCTCATGTCCACTGGGAGTTAGATTTTCCAGCCAGCAATTCTTTTGCAAGGGGCAACTTGGGGCAGAAGGAGGGAGAACACAGCCTTTATGCTTGCACTAGCAGTGGTAAACTCTCCTCTCTTCTAAGAACAGTTGGGGACTGAGCTGCTGAAAGATTTGGTAGCTGACCACAATCTTCTTTTGGTTTTCCTATGGCTTTCACAGTGGTTGTACCTCAGGACATGACAAGTGCTGATCCAGTATTTGTTCAGGTGAACAGCCCCTCCCTCCCCCATGGGTTCTTTCCTTTCCCTCTTATCTCATTTGAGAAAGAAAAGGAGACCAGGAAAATGCAGGAAAACAAAAGGTGACTGAAATTAATACTTAGATTTATTGGGAAAAATAAGTTCACTTCCAGACTCTACTTAATATATTATTTATTTCTCTTGTTAAAGTGTTTTGCTCAGTTCCATGGAGATGACAGAAAATGACCGAAACATGAGCTTGTTTGAAAAGCTATTGGAGCACGTGTGCTCCTCAGGGTACAGAGAGTTCCCAATGCTCACTGCTTCGGAGGGAAAAGGCAGTCCTCCTTTTCTGTCATGTTGCAGTCCTTACTCACTGGAAGTTTCTTGGAAAGCAGGAGTGCATTTCCAGCTCTGTTTGTTCATACCAGCGTTCGTTATGCAACTTTTGGCAGTGCAGTTTATAATACATTCCTTTACTATTTTTCTCTTTGTGCTGTATTTTGTATGCTCATCAGCTGTTTTACTTTTTTCTCATCCTTCAAAATCTGGATACATGGTTCTTATTTAGGTTCTCTTTATGGGAAATATGACTTTTATTACAATTTTGCTGACAAACTGATGTCTCTTTACATCTTCATTGTTACACCTTAAAATCATTATTTGCATTTAAATCTATTTTTTTCTATTTAATTCCTTAATTCATGTTTCAAATCTAACTCTAGGTCCTACTTTTATCTCATTTTAAGGCATCTGCACCTTCGGTCAAACCAAATTATAATGAGTGAGTACAGTTTTAAACCCAAATGTTAGTTAAATCTTAACTAACTTTTTTTCTCTTTGTTTTCTTCTTTCATTTAGTTGAGCACATGCCCTGCAGTTTGTTTGTGGCATGTGCTATACATGTCTTGTGTTATACCTGAGCAGAGGTGGCAGCTCCATGCAAAGAGAACAGAATTATTTTAAAAGGGAATATCTTCTGGAGGAGAGAAATTCTTATTTTCTTTTCACCTCTGATTGAAGCCTGATCCATGAAGGCCTGAAGCCAACCCCCTGGGCAGCCAATGTGAGGTGTCACTACCCTACACATTTACTTAAGTGTTTAGATTCTTTGTGGTGAAATGAATGTGTTTCTGTCAATCTGCAATATGTTATCTGATAGGCTGTTTGTTTTTAATAGTCCTGCACGGCCGGTGGTTGGTCACTTTGGTGAAGGACTGAGATACCAGTGCCTCAGCTCTGGGTTTGGGGCAGATTCGCTGAATCAAATGTCCATGACAAACTCTCTGGGAGAAGTGTCAGGCCAATTTACAATCAATTGCTACAGACAGTAGAAACAGCTGCTTCCCATCCTCTCCCTTTCATTCACTGTTTAAGACAATTTTGGCTAAAGTGGAAGAAATTGTAGGATGCCCATTAACATACATTGCTTTATTTAGCGCATGCATTTTACTCCTCTTTCATTTGTTTCTAAACTAATCTTCATCTGCTGAGCCAAGAACAAACAACAGTAAGTATGAAATCTGGCAAGGCAGCAAAGACAGGCAAATGACTGAAGGGACAAGAGAAGGAATTTGCTTCAATGAGATTTTCAGCTCGCCACTGACATCAGACAAACCCTACAAGACTCTCAGGGCACCACTTGAAGAAAAATATTTTGAAACTATATTTTTTAAATTAAAAAATATATTTTTTAATTCTCCTGTGTATGTAAAACAGTGACAGTGTTTGACTTAGTTGCCTACATACAGGTATGTAGTGACATCTGGGATACCCCAGATCTGTTTGGCTCCAGAAGTGCATAGGTAACCCCACAGGTCTTCCCAGCCCCATATGAGTGTTCTGAACCATCTCATATCCCACAGCAAAGTGACAGTTTGACAGCTGAACTGAGTGTTGAGATTCACCATCAGAATCTAGGGATGGAGAATGAACACCTGGTGAGAACTCAGTGTGAATGTAATCTCAGATACCACCGTGATATGTAATTTTTAATTTATATTTTATTTTTTTAGTTTTTAAGATGAGGTTTATACATAATGCTGACATAACTTAATAGCTTGTTGGACCATATGTCACTTGGATCCTGGATTTCCCCTTACCCTGTCTACCCTGCATGTCCAGCCAGCAGCTGATGCTAGAATCAGCTGTTAGACGGTTGCCTGATGTTAGGAGTTTCAGTGTGATGCTGATGCTGCTCAGCAGCAGTTTGACTCAGTAATTGTGAACACCTGAAGACATCCAGGGCAGAGCTGGAGGCCAAGCTGGATGGAGCCCTGGGCAGCCCAAGTTGGTGGGTGGTGACCCTGCCCACGGCAGGGGGTTGGAGCTTAATGATTTTCAAGGTCCCTTCCAGCCAAAGCCATTTTATGGCTGTCAAACCCACTCACTGTTTTTAGCTGAAGGTGTCATTAAGCCTGATATCTCCATGTGCTCCTCTTGATGCAGTTGTCCCAATGTCCCCCTCACCTTTTCTGAACGAGCATTAGGAGGCATATGACTGTGTCCTAGAAAAAGCTTCTCTCAGCCACAAGCATTCCAGATTTAAGCACTGTCTTTTTTTTTTTTTTTTTCTTCTGGGTTTTTATGTTCTGCAAAGCTAGGGCAAGTTTTTCAAAGACGTTCCAATACCTTTTTCATGAATTAAATCTTCTTCCTCTTCCTGGTGGGTGCTTATTCTTCCACATTTATCTTTTACATGAAAAAGCAAAGAAAAAAAAAAGAAAAAAAAAAAAACTAATTAATCAATGCCTTCACCTGGAAAGAAATCTCTTGTGTCTGCCAAAATACTGCACTTGAATCTATATTTTAAACACAACGTGATCCTTTTCCAAAGAATATGTCAATACTGCCCTATGACATTTAGAATTGTTAGCATTCTTTACAGAGAAATCTAGATCTATAAATGATTTCTTGTAATAACGAACAGAAATAGCTACATTTCCTTTGAAGTTAACATGGAGCCCCTCAAACTGCGGTGAATCCCTCCACCAAAGTGCGTGACTAACAAACGTCCACATTTTCAGCCGAAGACCAACACATGCCTGTGCTATGTTAGCTATTTTCTAGACCACACATTTTTATCATTCATCAAAGTTTAGTGTCTAGGTTTATTTTAGTCTTTCACATAAATAAGATGAAAGCTCTAGATCATCAGTTCTTTCTGCTTTTATTTACTGGAAAATATTTCATACCACTTTCAGAGATTAAGATTTGGTAACACTTTATTTTAGCTGTCGTATTATTTTAATTTATGGAGTGTTCTCAGTAATAGCAAAGATCACAACAGATACCTTTGGTATGAAGTGGGTGAGCACTTGTGGGGAGTCATAGAATCATAGAATATTCTGAGTTGTAAGGGATGCATAGGATCATGGAGTCCAATTTCTGGCTCCGCACAGCACCACCAAAAATTAGAATGTATGTCCAAGAGTGGTGTCCAGACACTTCTTGAACACTGCCGTGTTGATGCCATGACCACTGCCCTGGGCAGCCTGTGCCAGTGACCAAAACTAAGTTAGTTCCAGATCCTAAAGCAGTACAGGAGGAAACAGAACGGTCATAGTTACGTATACATAATAATGCAAGATAAGCAAGAAATGAATATTGAAACTAGGAGCCAGGTGTTACTGGAGTAGAGCAATTTCAGAACTGATCTGTTAATAGAGGTTGCACCTGAGAGTTGCTCACTTTCAGTGCCCCAAATCCGAGCATGAGAAAAGGGTAAAACATCAGAAAAACATACCCAGCTTAGAACCAACTATAGTTATTTCCATTACTTTCCTTTTTAAAATTTTACATGGACTTTGGAGGCTCAGAATCTGAAGATGTTCATCATTTTGATGGTCAGATCAATAAAAGAAAAACTGCGTTGTAACAAAGTTTATCAAATCTGAAATCGGGGGAATTCTGATGTCGAAGTGTAAATAAAATATTGATAGGATGTTGATTCTTAAGCTATCTTGAGAAATACAGGTCACGTGTCAGTGTGTGATAACTTGTGATTTGCTTTACTCTCCATGGCCTTCACATAGGCAGCTGTATGTGAGTCTGTGCAGTAAGCATGTGGCAAGAAGACTGAACACAGCATAGTTTGATGTTCAGAACTGTTGTACGCTCTTTTTTAATGAATGCTGTGGGAATTAGATGTTCAGTTTGCAAGGAGCTTGAATGATGTGAAGTGTCTTAGCTGTGAGCTGAGTGCTTTACAGCCTCCTGTTGTGCTGAGTTAACATCCTACAAATGGGAAAAGCTCAACAGGCAGGAGGAAAAAAAAAGGAAGGAAAACGTTCTTATTTAAAGGAGAAAGACAAGGGGAGGAAGCCTACCCAGAGATTAAAAACTCCAGGAGTTCTGAATCTCTGAACTAAAAGAAGAAAAAAAACCTGGCTAAAAATATCACAGGAATCCTTGCCTAAGCAAGCTAATGTCTATTACATAACTGTGAATCCTGGCAATAAGCAGGCTTGAGCACAATGTATTCCTACAGCACTGCAATCTGTCTGAGTTTAAAGTGTGTCCTGTTTCCATTTATGTCCAGGTGTGGTATTATTATCCCTAATACCAGAAACTGAGGTGAAATAAATTTATACTGTGAGTACTGGGACTTCCACGGATGAACAGCAGTTCACAGGAACAGAAGGAGTTTCTCCAGAAGTCATTCCTGGGCAGTGGATCACTTTACTTTAAAATAAATTCCATCCTTGGTGTATTTTTCAAAATGTGATGATCCAGACAAGACTGACTGATATCTTTTCTGAGATGGTGAATGTTGTGGATGATGAGTGTTTGCTGAGAGGGTGACTGGAGTTACCTGGGATGTCCCTGCTCTGTACTAAGCACTGTTGCTGGCTGCTGGCTTCTGGAAGAAGTTATTCAGTGCAGATGGCTACCTGTGGAAGCCCCAGAAACCTTTTTATACCCTCCCTACTCTCAGGAAGATTAGAACACATCTGTTTTGCCAGCAGTTCTCCTGAGGTTTCCACAGGTTATCCCTGTACCATCCATTTTATCTAAGTTGATTTCAGTCTTTAATATCCTCAAATCTTCAGTGAAAATTGCTATACAATAAGTCAGATGAGCAGATACAACAGTTTCTTACATAAAATTTTATGAGTTTTTAAAGATGAAAGAAGGATAAGCAGCACAGTCAGCACTTTGCAGTCTTCTGAGACCTCATCTTCTCCAAGGAAATGACAGATATTGATCAAACATAACAACTCAGTAAAAATGTAAGATGAGTTCACCGTGGATTACAATTTAATCCTTTTAATAGAAACTTGAAGTTACAAGGAGTTTTTAGTTTCCATTGGTTAGCTTTTCCTCTTAGCTGTAAGTTAGTCAAGTCTAGTCCAAGGTGGTCAGAAGAGGCTTTGCTGCTCATACATACAAACAACAAAACCAGGGCAACAAGAAAAAAGAAAGCACCCTGCCCATATCTGGGCAGCTAATTAAGTGCCCTCTCTTACAGCTGTAATGCACACTTGAACATCTGTCCAGTAGTGTAGGACCCAAAACAGGCGCCGATTGTTATTGACATAATAAAAGAATTTAGCCAGACCAAACCAAACAGCTGACAGCTGCACCAGCAGTTTGCTGTAGCCTTGGAGAGGCTGTGGAACTACATGAGGTTTAGTAACCACTCCTTCTCTACATAAGGCACACAGCCAAGGGAAGTTATAGAGCACGATTTGCAATTATCATAGATAGGGCAGTAGGATCTCAGAGTCAAAAGGGATGATTAAAGGCTCAGGAAGATAGTATAGTTAGGTCATATTTATGCATTAGAGAAGCTGACAACTGCAGGGGACTAATAATGGAACACAGCATCCTTTAGCAAAACTGATTTTGCTGGGGAAAAGAATAAAAAATTCAATGGCATATTCAGTGCTGCAGCTCCTAAGTACTGCTGTCTGACTTTGATGGACACCTAAATTGCTCTGCCTTAAATAAATATTAAGTATGACAAAGGAAGAGATTTAGAGCCACCATCAGCTAAATCAGCCCATAGAAATTGATGGAAAGCTTTAAGATGAAATTATTCCTCCCTTGCACACAGGTGCTCAAGATTTTTTTCTGTTGCCTCTGTGTATTTTTCTGTTATGTAGGACATGTTTACCTTCTGCTGACCAAAGTGTGGGTTTCTGCACCCTTGTTCTGACCCAGTTCCACAAAAAAGATCTTTTTTTTTTTTCCCCACCTGAATGATGGGCTCAGACTCCTATAAATGCTATTTGCAGACACACTCAGCAGGAGAACTGGAGTCCAAAATACATTAGAAGGCACACTTCCAGAAGAACTCATAAATTTTCTGCTTGGGACTTGTACAAACAAGAGGTATACAACTGTACGATCAGTAGGTATACAGAGGTTAGGTTTAGTAAGATTATTGCAGTGGAAAGATAATCAAAATAAATAGAAATGCTCACCAGTGTCATAGGCTCATAGGAAACTCCCCAAGGAGCAATCTTCAGAAGGAGATTCCTCCTCTGTGGCAGTCAACAATTAAATGGGATCTAGAGAGATGCAGCCAGGCTCCACCCCTTCTTGTAGCACAGGTGAAGTGCCTTCACCTGTGCTCCTGTGGCTGACTCGGTGCTTGCCTCAGGTGGTCAATCAGAGGTTCAGGTCATGATCAACAGTTCCCATACAGGACTGAGACTGATCAGTGTGTTTATTTTGTATAAGCAGATATATATCTTATATAAATTCAATTTTCTAGGCAAAGATAAAATCCTTTTCCTTTTTTTTTTTAATTTTTGATTCTTTATTAAAGAGTGATACGTGATATCAAACCAATGCCAGGTTACCTTTCCTTGTCTCACGGCCTAGAAAGTTTCAAACATTAGCTCCATTTACAGTGTTACCACAGATTGCAATTCACCATTGTACTCTTCTCAGAAACACATTTAGGGGTTCAGCTTGGCAAGAATCATGAGGTAGTTTTCAGTCTTCTGTGTAACTACCTGGAAAATAGTTGTGTCACACAATCAAATGGAGTGGCTACTTGGCAATGCAGCAAGGTTTGCTCATGTGGTAGATAATTTTGAAAAAGTAACTGCAGTGCTCTAGGAATTTAGGAAAATAGTGAAAGTTGATAGAAAAAGAGTATAGGTAGCAACTAGAGGCCTTCGGCTTTTCTCAGCCTTCAAAATCATTACTCAGAAAATTGCAGAGGTAAGGAAAGTTTCAAATGTACTCTGTGATGTAGGCATAACAAACAAGTTGTATTTTTATCATTAAAAAACAAAGCTGTCTTAGTGACCCCTTGAGGTATGAAGTATTGGATTAATGCAGAGATAGATGAAAGGAAAACATGAAAATGTTTGCTGTCAAGGAATGGGATAAACTGACTGCTTTAAAAACAACAAGTGGGTAGAGATTTCTTGACATTTCAGTTCTCTTATCTCTATCCTGGGGTATACACCTACACATGTATTGGGAGAAGTAGCTTCTGATGTTCATATTACCAGGTACATGCATTTTTTTTACAATATTGTGTCCCGAGATTCAGGATTAGTGTTGCACATATTAATCTCATGTTTAGAGACTGAATTCTTTTCATCCTGTTCAGTATTTCCACTTTGATTCTATGATACATGATAAAAATTTTAAAAATCAACACTATTAGGTCCAAATAGACATAATGAAAAAGAAGGAACTGCATTCACTCTAGGAACAAGTGCCTCTGGCTGTTTAACAGAGTAACACCAATTAACAGCATGTGTTACGGTTTGTAATGTGCTTTAGGACCCTTATGAATTTGAATAATGGCAAAATGCCATTAAGCACAGTCATGGCAAAGCTAATAAGTTTGTAACATGTTGTGGAATGGATATCTTTGTTCACTTAATTAGAAGGAGCTTAAATAATAAAGATGGCATGTGATTTTGAGGAGGAGGGGATCTCTTTGCTTTTTTCTGCACCTGAGTCGAAGATCTGACCATTTCTGACTTTCAGAATATTGGCATAATAAGCAAGCCTTCTGCTTTTCTTCATGACCTGAGTAATGCTGGGCATTTCATGAACAAACACTCAGACGTACAAAAGTTTTTGCAAAAAAGTTAAAATATAACCCAGTAAGGCATTTGTCCAACAGAAGCTGTAATGCCAAAAGTGCTCAGTGAGAGTATACCACTAGAACTTTTGTAAACTAACTCACTGAGAGCAGCATTATTGAAGAAGTTGAATTTGCTGGCTGGGTCTTGCCAGTCATCTTGACAGAGGAGAGAGGCAGGAAAAACTTGTCTTTGAGAGAGAAGGAAAGTAGCAGTGACTGCTGGATTTGTTTGTATATGTTGTTAGCGAACATCTTAGCAGTAAGAAGTACTTAATGAAAGAAAATATGTTTCTAACATCTATTTTATCATTTACTACTATTTTTACATGGGAAATCTCTTGAACGCCACATTAACTAAATTAATAAATTAAAATAAATACAAACAAGTTCCAGTTTGTTCTTATCCAATTTGTATTTTTGTTTTCTGATGAGAAAATGGTCTAATTTTATCTGAGAGCTGTAGACATGGTCACTTCATGCAGCTGACAGAGTTTATTATACAATATGAAGAATTGCTGAGCTACTGCATGGCTGTGAGGAACTTCCCCAGCACTGAAGCATGTTCTAGGCTGGCAGCTATCAAACCTTTTATTATGTGGGCTTAACTGTATCAGTTTTCTCTTTTGCCCTCCTCCCTTCACCACGTCTCCCTATTCCACACTCTTCTGCTTGGCCTGGACCTTCAATGACTGTTCATTCCCTTAATGCTGTTCATCCTGGTACTTAAAGCCAACTTGTCCCTCTTCACATTGCTTCTCACACCCACATCTCTCTCAGGGCTGAATTTGTGGTTTCCAGCAGGGCTGATGCTCCTAAGCCAACAAGTTCTCAGCAGGCTTTTATCCTGCAGTGCCCATCCCAGATCTTGGCTATTTCTTTTTGGGAGACAGTGTGCACTTCACCACCATGACTAGAGAGGAAGAAACCTCAAATACAGTGATATTTTGGTGCAAACTATCCTAGGAGAAAAGAAAAGCTGCAAAGACAAGATGCGCTGGTATAACAATTTATGTTAGTTATAAATTGCATGGTTGTTATTTCAGTGGGGACACACCATCACTAGCTTGATCCAACAAATATTAGCAAACATTCTTTGTACTCTCTGTAGTGTGGAAGTGTTAGCAACCTTTGACTCCATTTCTCACAATGCTTGTAATTTCCGTGTAATCTGTTTTCTGTTACTTAATAAGTTCCTGCAAACTCATGAGCTCAATTCTTTTTTAGCTTTCAAACAGATGTTATCTTCTTTAAAAATGATCACATCCCAAATGCAGTAATTTTAAGTGCACATTCACTGTGCAGTCCAACACTTCTTGGGTTTGAAATCACATTTTATTACAAGCCAGAACAGCCGTATCTTGAAACAGAATGTGGATGTTCTTTGGAACAGGGACTGAATACCAGATAGCATTGGTCTGGGATGGACTGTGAGGATGAAAAGTCATTTTCCTCTTCTTTCTTTCTTCTTTTTCATTTGTGTAAATTCACATTTAATTTTCACACACAACAAAGCACTTCTTCCACAGGACAGGTCATAACCCAGTCTATCTTCCAATCTCAAGATTTATGATTATGTGTTGTAAAAGTCGGATTCAGTGTGCTGTCAGAGGAGAATTCCTTTGCTTCCATCTATCTCTATGGACATGCCTTCTCTACCACTGAGTGCTGCCCAAGTCTGGACAGTTTGAGGCCTTCAGAGCATGAATCCCCAATATTCAAAACCTCAGGAGGGTTTTTGGATCTTTTCAGAACTTTATGATCATCTAAACATGTAATTCCTCAGTGCTTTTGAGACATATTTCTCAGGATAAGACCAAAACACAAATGGGACTTACTGCTTGGTTCTGGCCATGTGGTTTTTGGAAAGCAGAGAATTTTGTACCAAAAGTTTCCTTGGTTTGATCAAGGAAACTTACGCCTCACAGGAGATGTGGCATCTGAACTGGTCTATGAACATGTTCCCTTTCAGCAAGCGGATTGATCCTTCTATAGACCTGTTTGAGAGGCTTATATACAACATTTGAATTGAAATAGAGCACAGGGCTTGTGAGTATCTATAACTGCCTCCTGGAAATGCCCCATCTCCATGGTAGGGGCTGCACTGTCTGGAGCAATCACCTCCAGTGCTGGCAGTGAGCCACCTTGCAAAATACTTTGGTTGAGCTGTGTACACAGAGGGAAGACAATTCTCCTTCTCTTTCTCCCTCCCTTTTTTTTTCCTTCTCTTTCACTTTGACATTCATGATGGATAAATCTGGCAGACAGGGAAGAAACTGATTTTTTGTTATTATCAGCCTGAAAGAACATAAACTTTTGCAATTCTCTTGTGTTAATGTTGTGCAGCTGTTTGTTTGACTGTCAAGGAGCAAGAAGATATTTTAAAGCTCGGACTTTTGCAAACAATGTACTTCTGATTGCTTTTCAGGCAGCTCAGAAGCAGCCTGGTTGCAGAGATGGGCTGACTCTGCCATTCAGGATGCTTGCAACTGAGAAGCAATGATCAATGCAAAATGGAAGCCGGTGTTTGGTGAGAATCCAAGTGCACGTAGGGAATTCAGGAGAACCAGGAGGCTTACCTCCATATTCTGGGTTGCTAGAAAGTAGGTAGAACTACAGAGCAACATCCCTTGGTCTGTTCTTTACATACATTACAGATTTTTTTACTCTCATATTTCTTGTCTTGTACTCCAGCTTTGTCCTAAGGCTGGGGCCATACAGGCAGCCCTCAGCTGATAACCACCCCAGTGATCTGAAGAGCTCATGTTTCTCACCTGCAAGGACCCTTCCCCCCAGATAACACAGCTACGTCCTTCTTTCTCAGTCATGCTTCTGATCCCAGCATCAATTGGAGTGGCACTGAAGTGTTATAGGAAACACTAAAGTGAGTGTTGTTGTGAGTAGGGAGAATGACATTCATTTTCAGAGGATACAATTTCTTTAAATGGATTTACCTTCTGACATTGCCTGTCACATTTTAAAATTACCATTTGCAAATTCTTCAAATGATACTTTTGAAGCATAAACACTAGTGCATACTAGTGCTGCATTATGAAAGGATTAAACAAGATCTTTGGGTTCCATTAGTTTGGCTGGCCTGATTGTTCTCTAAGCCCTTCCCCCTGCACAATGCTCTAGAAGGAAATTCTGACATTAAAAATTAAAAAAAAAAAACCTATAATATTTTATTTAATTTGAATTAGAGGTGAGAGAATGGGGACTACTGCACATCGTGCCCCATGCTTGCAGTGTCAGAAGAATCATGTCACTTTTCAGCAAAGTAGAATTATTTGGCTTCAAAGTGCCAGCCATAATTAGACCTTTCCTTTTAAAAGAAATTCCCACTGCGTAGGCAGGATCAGCTGCTTTCTTTGTGTGAATTTTGAGATTGCAGAGCTGCTTTCCCTTGCTCTGATTTCTTTTGAAAAGACCTATTTCTTTAGACC